ACACACAACCAGCTAGCTTTTGCCGTGGCTAAAATGGCAAGGGAAGCACAGCTGGTGGTATACCTGGAGAACGCCATGTACTCACCGCCGGATGACCCGAAGAAAGCCGATGTGATTGTACGCGACCCGGACAGTGGAGAGACTTGGATCACAGACACCACTATCACAGACCCCGTGCTGCAGAACCGGGACCCCACAGCCCGCAAACCCCCAGGCTGGGCTGCTAGAGAGGCACAGAGGCGGAAGGAGAGGGAGTACTACCGACACACGGAACACGTGGTGTTCTGCGCCCTAGCCGTCGAGACCTACGGGGCAAACGCGCCCACCACGACTGCGTTCCTGAAGCTGCTGGCCACAGCAGCAGCTAGGAACCGGTTCAGGGCCAACCCCCTGGCGAAATCGGCCAAGAAGATGGCCTGCCACTTCAGCCAGCGCTGGTCAGTGGCCCTCCAGCGCTCCCAGGCTAATGCCCTGCACACCAAGGCCAGGGCTGGGATCGAGGCAGCGCACCCCCAGATGGCAGCGGACCCCTGGCCGCTGCACCTGGGGGACATCCTCCACACGCTGGAGGGCTAGAGGGTCACTCAGGGGGGGGGGGTGAAGAGTGGTAAGTTTTGGGCTTAAGGGATAGAGGTTATCATGGATAGCACCGCATGTTTGTACCCCTGCTGAATTAATACAAATGACCGTTTGAGAGAGAGAGAGAGAGAGAGAGAGAGAGAGAGAGAGAGAGAGAGAGAGAGAGAGAGAGAGAGAGAGAGAGAGAGAGAGAGAGAGAGAGAGAGGATTAGCCTCTCCCCTTCTACCCTCTGCCCTCTGTTTCCAGCCTTCTGCCATGAGTACTTAAGGCCTCGGTGGCCTCTTCATCTCTCATTCTTTCAGTTGGTGCTGAAAATTTCGGTGTTTCGCTCGAGAGAGCGAGAGAGAGAGGATTAGCACCCACCTGCGCCCGCCTCCCCACCTGACTGGATATTTCCCACACCAGACCCTCACCTCTCGGCGCCTTACGAGGTCTTCTCCAAGGTTTTGGGTCGGTGTGAGATGGGAGTAGGAGCTGGGCCATCAGGAACAACATTCAAACACCTGCGGGACGCATCTCTAATCAACGCTTCAGTGGGGAAGCACCTGCATGCGCTAGTCAACACCATACTCACTGGAAAATTACCTCTCGCAATAGCCGAACTCCTCACCGCCTCTCGCCTGATTGCCCTTACCAAACCAGTAGGGGGGACGAGGCCGATAGCCATCGGCGAAAGCATCACTCGCCTCACTGCCAAAACAGCTCTTACCTTGACGGCGGGCGCCGCTCGAGATTTCTTCTTACCTCATCAATTCGGTGTAGCGGTTCCAGGGGTAGCAGAGGCGATCATCCACATCACGCGAACCTTTCTTACCGTCAACCCTGGAGCGCTCGTTCTGCAGGCCGACCTGGCGAACGCTTTCAATAGTGTTAACCGAGAGGCCATGGCGGAGTCGCTTCGAGGTTCGACGCTAGCTCCGCTACTGCCACTCGTAAAACTGTCATATGGCCACCCCTCTTCCCTATGCCTGGATGCCGGATTCTCGCACCCACCACTCTTGAGCGAAACCGTGGTGAGGCAGGGAGATCCCCTCGGCCCCTTGCTGTTTGCTGCCGCCATTCACCCCGCGTTGACAAGCACGGCACTTACCTTCCCGTCCGTGGTATGCCTGGCATACGCGGACGACGTCACTTTTCTTGGAGAAGCAACGGCTTGTGCGGCGGCGTTTGGGCACTTCACAGGAAGCCTTGGGGAGATTGGGCTACAACACAACCCCGCTAAGTGTGCGGCATGGTCACAGGCAGGCCGTCAGTCAACACCCCTGCCGCAGGGCGTACCTTTCATTGATGACGGCGTGAAGGTGCTGGGCAGCTTCGTCGGCGGAAACGACGCAACTGCAACGTTCCTACGCGACAGCCTTAACACAATGGGAGCCCCACTTCGCCTAATTGCGAGAATGGAGCCACAGCTGGCGTCTCTCCTGCTTACCAGATGCATCTGGCGGCGAGTCTCCTATGTCGCGCGCACCACTCCGCTCTCTCCCTTGCCAGTGGAGGAATGGTCGGACTGGGGCAAGGGATTGTTTGACACACTGTTGACGGCTTGCGGCATTCGACACCCACGGGGGGAGGCTGAGATAGCACGGACCTGGGCCCAAGCCTCACTCCCGATCTCACTTGGAGGCTTGGGTCTGACGGACCCGTTGGTGGAGGGTCGCGTAGGGTTCTTGGCGAGCTACACGCAGGCGCAGCATTTGCTCACCTCCATTGACGAGGCGGCGGTCGGCGCCTTGGCAGAAACACGGATCCAGATGGCGGGACCCTACCTCAACACGTCCCCGCTGTTTGACTGGTTGGAGAGGTGCGAGGAGATGTTGCCGGAGGACGGGAAGGAGCTGCTGCAGAGCGACCGCGCCGAACCCAAAGGCATCAAGCTGCAGCACGGGCTGGCAATCGCGGTCCACGCACGCCGCTACGCCGAGCAGGTCCAAACCACGCGCGACATGCCGCTCAACCCCCTTAGCGGGCACACGCAACGTATGCTCTCCCTCTCGGGGTATGGGGCAGGGGACTGGCTCAACGCGGTCCCCTTTAACAAGTCGCTGCGCCTGGCTCCAGATCACTTCGCCCACGCACTGCAGTTCCGAATGGGGCTTCCCTCCTCTGCACCTGGGGCTTGTGACTGCCGCAACAACACGGCAATCACAGACCGACGGCTGCCCAACCACCTTCTGCGCTGTGACACAGGGAAGGGGAGGACCAACACCCATAATGAGCTGCGGGATGAGTGCCTCCGGATGGCCAACGACGCGGACTTCATGACTCATGGAGAGACAACCGCATTCTGCCCCGTCACTAGGAAGAAGGCGGACATAGCAATCAGGGACAAGTCCTCGGGGGCGGTTTGGATTGGGGACGTGACAATCACGGACCCCATCAGCACCCGTGACCCCAACGCAGTCAAGGGAAGGGGGTGGGCAGCCCGTGAAGCGGCGGAGAAGAAGATCTCCGACTACGAAGGCTCAACGGCTTCGTGGGTCGGATTCTTCCCACTCGCCGTTGACACCTACGGCTGCCCTTGCGAGGAGGTGCCCCAATTCTTCAAGCTGTTAGCCGAGACCGCCGCCCGCAGGCTCTTCAACGCGGCCCCCTCATCCTACCAGGCTACGAAGCTGCTGCACCAGTTCCGCCAGAGGTGGTCCGTGGCGCTGCAGCGTGCTCAGTCGGTGAGCTTTATGGAGAAATGCAACTACGCGGCACAGGTGGAGAACCCACCTGCGGAGATGCCAGGCGAGGGCATGTCCCTTGGGGACTGCCTGGCCATCTTAGAGCCGGTGCTGGAGCTCCCTTAGACGGAGCAGAGGGGGAGGGGGGTGAGGGGGATGTGTGGGTTAGAAGATGATTTGTATGAGTAGCATCTCTATCCTTTGCATGTCTGTATTTGCTTGGATCTAATACACGGACCGCTTGAGAGAGAGAGAGAGAGAGAGAGAGAGAGAGAGAGAGAGAGAGAGAGAGAGAGAGAGAGAGAGATGAGAGAGAGAGAGAGAGAGAGAGAGAGACGTTGCTGACTGCCTGCGGCATTCGCCACCCACGGGGGGAGGCCGAGATTTCACGTACCTGGGCGCAAGCGTCACTCCCCATCTCGCTCGGTGGTTTGGGACTCACAGACCCTTCGGTGGAGGGTCGTGTTGGGTTCCTTGCAAGCTACACGCAAGCGCAGCACCTGCTCACCTCCATTGATGAGTCGGCCGTCGGCGCCTTGGCGGAAACGCGGGTCCAGATGGTGGGGCCCTTCATCAACACGTCCCCGCTCTTTGACTGGTTGGAGAGGTGTGAGGAGTCACTGCCGGACGATGGGAAGGAGCTGCTGCAGAGCGATCGGGCTAATCCCAAGGGCGCCAAGCTGCAGCATGGGCTGGCAATCGCGGTACACGGACTGCGCTACGCGGAGCAGGTGCAGGCTACACGCATCATGCCACTCAACCCACTAAGCGGGCACACTCAGCGCATGCTTTCACTCTCAGGGTATGGGGCAGGAGACTGGCTCAACGCGGTCCCCTTCAACTCGACACTGCGGCTTGCCCCGGCTCACTTTGCGCATGCGCTGCAGTTCAGGATGGGGTTACCCTCCTCGGCACCTGGCGCGTGTGACTGCCGCAATAAGACGGCAATCCTTGACAGGCGCCTGCCCAACCACCTGCTGCGCTGCGACACGGGGAAGGGGCGGACCAACACGCACAATGAGTTGCGCGATGCGTGTGTACACATGGCCGCCGACGCTGACTTCATGACTCACAGCGAAACGACTACGTTCTGCCCCGTCACTCTGAAGAAAGCCGACATTGCGATCCGGGACATCCTCAGGAGCGGTGTGGATAGGGGACGTGACCATCACGGACCCCATCAGCACACGGGATCCCAACGCGGTCAAGGGCAGGGGATGGGCGGCCAGGGAGGCGGCGGAGAAGAAGATCTCCGACTACGAGGGCTCAACGGCCTCGTGGGTCGGGTTCTTCCCCCTTGCCGTTGATACCTATGGCTGTCCTTGCGCGGAGGTCCCTCAATTCCTCAAACTTCTGGCCGACACCGGCGCGCGCCGGCTCTTCAACGCGGCCCCCTCATCTTACCAGGCAACAAAGCTGCTGCACCAGTTCCGCCAGCGGTGGTCCGTGGCGCTGCAGCGGGCGCAGTCAGTGAGCTTCATGACGAAGTGCAACTACGCGGCTCAGGTGGAGAACCCACCTGTGGCGCTGCCGGGCGAAGGAATGTCCCTCGGGGACTGCCTTGCCATCCTGGAGCCGGCATTGGAGCTGCCTTAGAGGGTGAAGGAGGGTAGGTAGGATGTGGGGGTTTTAGAAGCTGAGATGCATTGCTTCTTATATCCTTGTGCATGTCTGTACCTTGCTCGGATCTAATACACGGACCGCTTGAGAGAGAGAGAGAGAGAGGGGGGGGGGGGGTAGAGGGAAAAGAGCACTCACGCGTGGCCGGTGTTGATCTTGATGCCATCATGGTTGCGAATGCACACAGCGCCGTCAATAGTGAGGCCCGAGGTCGTGAAGTCCAGGTAGTGACAGTGCGTCGTGCCCACGATGTAGTTGCACGTGTCCAGATTGCCTGCGCCGCGGGGACCGAGATGGAGACGGGGACGGGACGGCGACGGGAAAGTGGGGGAAAGAGAGAGCGGGACGGAGATGAGGGATAGGCGCGGTAAGGTCGAGCGGGGAGCTCGGGATGGTGAATGGGGAAAGAAAACAATGGGGCGAAGGGGAAGGGGTGTTGAGCGGGGGTGGGGAGGGTTGAGGGGGGGTAAGGGGAAGGGGGACGGAGGGAGCAGCCACGCGCTCCGCGGACTCACCAGGGTTGTACCAATGCAGATCGTAATAGATCCCGGCGCCGTCGCCGTTGTTGGTGGGGTAAGCGGGGCCGGGGATGATGTAGTTATCCTGGATGGTGTTGAGCATGCAATCCGCGACGTTGCTGTCGCCCATGCCGCACTGCACGCCGCAGAACTGAAAGTCCGTGATGTAGTTGTTCGCGATGATGGTGCCCACGGTCCCCGCGTACATCATGATCGACGTCCACGCGCCTGCGCCGGGAGCAGCGGGGTGGACCGGGAAAGCGTAGGGGAAACGTGGGAGAGAGGTGATGAGGGCTATGCGCTCGCCGGGTATGTGATGTGATCGACGTTCACGCGCCGCGGACGACCAGGAGGAGGGATGAAAAAACGCGGGAGGAAGAGGGAGAACGAGAGAATACGGGGGAAGCATGGGGAAGGCGGGGGGAAATAAGGGGGAAACGGAGATGACGGCGTTGAGGGTGCGTGCGTACAGAAAGATTGACGCACGGAAGCAGGCAAGCAAGTAGGCACGCGGGCAAGCAGGCAGGGAGGGAAGGAAGCGCACCGCGGATCTCGCTGTTGACGACCTTGTTGAGCGAGCGGATGAGGTTGACGGGGTCGCCGTTGACGGCGAAGCGGATGCACGAGTAGCTGAAGAGCGTGCCGTCCAGATAATCCACCACGTGCTTCTGGTACGAAAACTCCACCGCGCCCGACCGATACACGTCCGTGCGCCCCTGCACTTGCCCCTGCGGATGTGCGGAATGTGCGGGGAGAGGCGGGGAAGTGGGGGGGAGGGGGAGGAAGGCGGGGGGAGGGGAGGGGGTTGGAGGAGGGGGAGGAGGGAAAAGCGAGGGATGGAGATTAAGCGGCGGAAGCTGAAGGGGTGAGAAGGGACGGGGAGGAGGATAAAGCGGGAGAGATGGGGGAGCGACGGGGAAGAGGCGGAAAGCAACGGAGAAGCGACGGAGAAACGGCAGGGAGACGACGGGGAAGCGACGGGGAGCAAGGCGGAAGTGCCGGGTGGCTCTGGTGCGGGCTGCATCCTTGCAAGGGCGCCGGCGGGAGAGAATGCCCGCGCGGAAAAGTCGTCAGAAACGCGGCAGCAACAGCTTGCGTGGCGCGCAGGCATACACGCGCAAAGGGAACAAACAAGCAACCGCGGGGGAAACAAAACGAACCCGCAAACAGACGCGGGGTTGCGCGGGTACATCGTACTAGCATGCGCGCACCATTTCCCCATCCCTCCCCATCAACCCTCCCGCTTATCCTACCCCTTTCCCCGCTGCCCCCTCCCCCACTCCCCCCATTGCCCCACTTCCCCCTTCCCATTCCCCTTCCCATCCCCCTTCCCTTCCGCGCGCCGCTCACATTGGAGAAAGTGACCGCCCATCCGCGGTAGATGTGTAGCACGGGGCACGTCCAGCGCGACGGGAACTCGGGCAGCCCGCCGCACGCCACCATGCCGGTGTTCGTCCACGGGAATCCAATCCCGATCCCGACAAACTGCATGTTCGTCGCGCTCTCCACCCGCACCGCGGGCGAGTTGACGTTATCGAGCCAGATCCAGGGCATGGACGTGAGTCCCGGTTGCGGGCGGATGATGGTGCAGGAATACGACGCGTTGAACCAAACCACGGTGGAGGTCGTGATGTTGCCCGTTAGGTACATGACGACCGTCGTGTTCGGCGTGTACTGCAGCCGCTGCGCGAAATCCGCGGCGGTCGAGACGGTCAGCGGCACGGGCGTCGCGGAGCACGGGCCGCGCGTCGGAACCTTGATGACTCCGCCTGGCGTTGAAGAGGGGAAGGGGGACGGATGGCGGGGACGGCAGGGGGAACGGGGTTGGGGTGGGAGAAGGGAAAAAGGGAGGGTGGGAGGGGTTCGAGGGGGGAAGCGGTCGGGGGAGGTGTTGGAAGAGGAGAAAGGTTTGGGAGGCGGGGATGAGGTGGAAGGGGAGAAGAGGGAGGAGGAGGGGGCGAGCAAGAAGAGAAACAGACCAAGCCCGAGTTGACAGCAAAAGAAAGCGAGGACTGCTGCTCGGTCGCGAAACCATAGCGACGCACGGGAAACACGCCGAGAAACGCGGGCAAGATTCGCCGAAAATTAGCGGCGACCTCCCGTCGCACGGGGCGCAGTGGAAGACGAGGGGGCGGCTCACGGCATGCAAGCAAGTTACGAAGCTTAAGAGTTCTGAGACAGGGCAGAGAATCTCGCGGCATGCAGCCGGAAAAGACGCTGTGCCCGTTAGGTACTTCGCTAGGCGAGGCGAAGCGCGGCGCGGCGCGGGAGGAGAAGAGGCTATGGACGGACTAAAACATATCAGTCGCGGAGCGCGTGAGCGATGACAGAGGGCGAAGGGGGGGAGGAAGGCGAAAAAGAAGCAAGGGAGAAGGGCATCTTGAGACGAGTGGAGAAGGCCGATTAAGTCGGGGTGGAAGTCATGAGTAATGACTTCTGAGTCGACTCAAAGGACAACTTGAGACGACTGGAGATGAGCGATAAGAACAGGGTTGAAGGGAACTGAAGACCGGGAGTGGAGGGACGCGGGAGGGGAACGAGAGCTTTGAAGGACGAGGAGGTTCGAGGCTGATCCGCGGCCAAGATAACTTCTACGGCAGCGGGGACGGAGCAGGGAGACGGGAGACGGGAGAAGCGAGTAGCGACCCCTTTTGACGCTGGCATTTTCCACCAGAGGAATCTTCCTCGAACCCTATTTCTCAGGCAAATGGTCCATTTTCTGATACGCCGCACCATGCGGCCTCGAGAGCCCGCACCACACGGGGTATCAGTGATTCGGGGCAATCACACATTGCCCTGAAAAAAACAAATCCGGGTCTTTCATGCCCCTCTTCTTGCCAACTGGAAAATCACACATCACCAACACACCATCACTAACACATCGAACGCACAGATTCTCTTGCCCGATTTTTTTCGACGTCCACCACTGGTTTGCAGGGCTGCCCGGGCTGCCAGTACAGTGATTCTGGGCTCCATCAGCGCAGCTGCATGCGAGCTTCTGCGAAGTGTCATTTTGGGTTGATGCCATTAATCCAGGCCCATTTAATGCCAACCGAACAGTCGGGCCCATTCTTCCGAAGTTAAACTGCGGCTACAGTCTGACTTCGCAGCTGTTTCGAGGGGCCATTTTTTGGGGGCCCGTTAAAAATGCCCATAATGGCCATAATGGCCATAATGCCTGCCGAACTGGGCCCAATTTACAGAGTCTACAGCAATTGCAATCGCAATCGCGATTATTTCGTGGCACGTTTGTCTTTCCTGGGGTGCTTGCTTGCCAGGCGACGCAGCATCGGCAGTTGTTTTTTTACGGCGAGACAGTGGAGACCGTTAGTCTAGAATTCCCTCTGCGACCCCCACGGCAGTATGGCGGTGCGTTCCCTTGATTCTTCATTCTTTGGCTCCGTGGTCTCGCAACGCGCTCCTTTTCCCGGCGACCGTTGCGCTGCGGAAAGTGTCCCCGCTCCGCAACCCGCGCGTCCGCCGCCGATTCTTCGCGGCCGACCAGACCGCTCCGTTGCGCGCCCGTGGACGATCCCCCCGGTCTGTGCAGCGCATATCGTAGCCGCGGTCTGGTTCGATGACGACGTGGACGATCCGCGGTTTGCGGGGTGGGAAGGCGGCAGTAGCGCTGGCGGACGGGCGGGGAGACGAGGGGGGAGGCGCGGAGAGAACGCGGAGCAGGAGGGAGCGCGTGCGACCCGCAGGAAGGCGAAAGACTCGAAACGCGCTCGGGGAAACAGAGCGGCTGACGTGGACAAGGAGGGCGAGCAGCAGGGGAGCAGAGCGAATGGGGGTGAAAGGATGAGAATGAATGGCGGTACTCCCAGCACTAGTAGCACCCCCTTTACTGGGGAGACAGCCATTCTAACGGTACCTGCTACGGAGAGTCGAGTGCAGCCGCTGGTATCAGGGAAGCTGTGACAACCCCAGCCGGCACAGGTCAACCAGCAGCAGCAACAGCTGGAGCAGGAGCAGGAGCAACAGCAGCAGGAGCAACAGCAGCAGGAGCTTCGTGGGTTGTGCGGGATGGAGTGCCCTCGGCTGTTCCTTCGTCGTCCTCATTCGTGAAACCCCTCTCCACGCTCTACCCTCGTGTGCCCTGCCGCGTCTGCCAAGGTGCAAGGGGGTGGTGTCTGGGGAGTGGGGGGGATGAAGGGGAGTGTGATGGGACGAGGAGTGTGTTCTGAAGAGTGAAGGGGGAAGGGAATCGAGTGGAACACTGAAAATGGTTTCCCCTAGCCAAGTTTCAATGCGACCACCACCATGCGCTTCCTCTTTTCTTTACGGCAGCTCATTTCAACCAGCCCCTTAATTTCCCTCTTCCTCCTTTTTGACCCCCCCAACCGTTCCCATCCTTCCTCCCTGCTCTGTGCCAGATACTAAGCTGGTGGAGTGTGCATGTTGTAATGGTGTTGGCACACTGGCTCGCGGAGGCTTCCAGAAGAAAAACCCAGTCTCTGTTTCAAGAATCATAGGTGAAGGATACTTCCTAGGCATCACATACACAGCATAGCGGTTTCTACTTTTACCGCCATAGCCCGACTGCATATATGAGTGCGCATGCGGCACTCTGCGAAGTCAAGGTTGGATGCTTTTCTTTTTACTTTGCTTTAGTCCTACCTTAGGCAAGAGTCCCCGGTGACCCCCACGCCTCCACCCGATGCGAGTTCCCTTCCATCAGCATTTATGAATGTGGTACTAGGTTCACATTCAGTTCCTTCGTTGGCCTTTCAGTGTTTCACGTTTCCCTGCTTATATTTTCTTTCCTTGAGGATCCTTCATATTATCCCTCATGTTATCCTCTCCATGTTTTCCTCCCTCCTGCTCAATGTTCCATCCTCCAGGATCCAAGTGGACAGCCATGGTGCGCACGCATGGTTGGCACCACTTCAGAGTTGAATCCAAGAGAAGGATGGGAGGCAATGCTGCAGGCAGACACAGAGGCACAGCAATGGGTGAAGCTGAGATGCCTGCAGAGAAAGTTGTGGATGGGGCTGGCAATCCAATCATTGTGTGGAAGGCTGCTGGGGATTCTGCTTCTAGCTCGGGATTAGGCTCGAAAAGTGACTGGTTTGTGGAGATGGTGGCGACATGTGACCCTAGCACTCGAGTTTGGGTGAATGCACACAACCTGAAGGTGAGTGGGTTGAAGTTTTTTGTTTTTGTTTGCCTGGTTATAATTCTTACAGATAACTAACGTGAAGTCCTACTGCCACATAATCTTGCTTATTAATTCTCCTGTAGTGTGCTGCATGCTACAGGGCATGGCATGTCAGTTACTTGCATTCTCAAATTCCTGCCTTCTCATCATCCCCATTTCCACTTCTCATGCCTTTTCTCATCGCTTCCGTTTCAGGATCGGAGACATTGGGCCATGGGCTGGCTGCAGAAGGAGGAACTGCAAGCCCTGGATTTTTTCTCTGCTAGCGAACAGGTTTCAGGGCTTGGGGCAGGATCAGGAGTAGATGGAGGGAGCATCGATGGGCTCTCAAAACGTCTGGTATGCAAGGCATGTCAAGGGCAGGGCAGGGTTGCCTGTCCCAGATGCAAAGAGCTGGCAGAGATGAGGGAAAAGGAGAGAGAGCGACGGAAAAATGAAGGTGGGAGGGATGGGTTTGATGATGACTTTCAAGATGATGGACTGCTGGAAATAATCCAGATTTGACATGTGACATGGTGGTTGTCAATGGCAATCAGGGGTCCCAAAAAAAGCAGCTGATATTAGACCGTGCACTTGCAGTTTGCGAGTCGTTCTCAATTGACAAGATTCGTCAAAAAGCAGGTCTTTTGTTCCCTGTAAATACCGTACAGAACTTAACATTTAGAAAATGCTGGTACGGTATCTCCTGGAACCATGCATTGTTCAGTCTTCACTGATGAGCCATCTGTCACTTTCTTTGGGCTCTCAATCATAGCATGCAAGATCATGCTCAAGCTTTCTCCTCCTCGATTCCAAATCCTGCATGTGATGAGGGTAAGCAAGGCCCTGCATGATGGAATTGATGTGTGCAATTATCACCCACCTCTACTTCCTTCTTTGCCTCTTCCTTTTTCTCCTTTTCTTTCTGGATGTCCTTCTTCAGTTGACCGACGCACACTATCCCCTGTCGTTGGAGCATGAGAATGAAACTCTGAATGCACGATTAAAAAACTGGTGAGGAAATCACATACCCCGCAAAAATGGAGTATTCCACAAACAAGGAGAAGCCAAATGGCTCCATTGTCAAAAATCTTTTCAAAAATCGACTTGCTGCAGGTCCTTGTTATGGCCTTTGTCAGAATTGCAACGCTGCAAATGACAGATTGGCGTTTAAGTTGACAGAAGAGAGGTCAAATTCTATGATTAAGGGGAACGCTTACAATCCTTGCAGCATTCCCCTTGCTGTCCAGAACTTCAAGATCTGAGAAAACCGGTGTCACGAGTTATTGCTCATTGCAGAGACTTTGAAGGGGCACTTTTCTGACTTTCTTACCTCCATGAACTTCGTGACTACGTCCAGCTCCGCTTCCAGCAACGCAGAAGCAAGAGAAAACACCATTCCATATGCTTGCAACAGCACAAGGAAAACCTGAAGTAGGCGCAGTCAATATACAAAGGTGGTGCTCGAGAAAGGTAAAGGTACTATGAGCACGTACATTCACTCCAGGAGGAATAGCGCTGACGACCATCGAGATGCCATTGACAACGGCACAGGCAACAGATGATACTGCCGTTATGACTGATAGAACAGTACAAATTGTCATAAAGACCTGCCGTTCAGATATTTGTTTGGCATATTTTGGAGGATTTGCATGTTGAGGAGTCGCGACGGCCAGGTCTGAGTCCTCAACAGAAAGTCTGGTGTCCTCGCGTGGGCTTAATGGCGGACTTATGTCATTCCTGAAATTAATATCATAAGCGTGCATCCCATCAGTAGAGGTAAAAACCAATGGCGGCACCTTACATTGGTACTACAGGAGTCTCCATTATTTGGAAATTGGCGATGTCAGGATGGAAAACAAATGGTAAGATTCGCTTCCACAAGCGTTGAAAAATCTGAAGACTCCCTTCGAGATTGTGAAGTGATAAGTTCTGTTCTTCGAACAGCTTATGTGAGACAGACTCGCATCCAGAACACAACACAATCAGGTGAGGTGCCCGCCTAAACAAAAGCTCTAGTCGGAGCCTCAATCTGCGATTCTGCGACCTCTATTGCAGAAGAGTGGTGCATGAAAACTGATGCGTGTGCTGAATTGCTCAATAACGGGTACAGAGACTTACAACAGCTATAGGGTGATCTACAAAAAATCACAACATTTGATCTAGACAGACTAATTTACCTAGGATCATCAAGGGCTTGCTCACACTTTAAGAAAAAGTCATTATTGCCAGCTCCTGAAATTACAAAGATATATCCCTCATAGAAATGGCAGATCTGTGCCTTCCTCCACGGAGAAGAAAAAACACCCCGATCAAACATCGAAACTACTTGATTAACAATCTTCAGCCCTACATCTAGTTATTGCCAGACCTTCCGGCCTTGGCATCAATTGCTGCCGCCGCCGCAGCTGCAGCTGCATGAGCCATACCCGATCTCCCTTCAAACGCCACCCCCCCACCCGCTCCACCTTCCCCATCAGACCCCCTCCTCCCTCCCCCACCCCGCTCCTCACCATCCCCACCCTCACCCCCCCCTACCAACCCATCAGAACCCTCCACCTCTCCTTCCCCATCACTCTCCCCGTCTCCTCCCAGCGAGTCTGTCCCTTCAAACCCAGCCGGCACTGGCTTAGTGGCCACAAGAATGCGCTCCGGGCTTTTCTTGGTCTCCGGAGGGAAGAAGGCGAGAGACCACTGGGCGGCTCTAGCTGCCTGGGCCACCACAGCGAGAGGCCCGGGGAGGTCGCGCACAATGACAGTGCCTCCTGGGCGGAGGAGTCGGTCCATCTCCACGACTATGTCTGCAATCTCACAGCGCTCCCTTTGGGGTGCAGGATGGGTGCAGAGAGTTGAGAGGAGGGGAGGTTCAGGGAAGGGGAGGTCAGGGGAAGAGGGGGGAAAGAGGAAAGGAGAAAGTCATATATGACATTATTTAGATGGGTCCAGAATATAATATCTTGACACCGTATGTTTTTCCAATCATACAGGTGCATGCAGTCCCAGCATGCGGATTTGGGGTTTGTTGGATTAGTTGAACACCCCAAACAGGATCCATATGTGGAAGTGAGCAAGTGTGAGAGCATGAATGCGAATTTGAGAGTGAGTGAGAGTGGAGGGAATTACTTGGAGGGCATGAGAGGCGCGGTGGAGAGGAGGTGAATGAGGTCGTAGGTGCGAGGGTACGATGAGAATGATTCACACCTGACACATGCACGCACAGCGCAGGGGTACAGAGGAGGAAAAGGGGGAAGGGGAGGTAGAGTTAGCAGGAGAAAGGGAAAAAACGACAAAGGGGCATTAATCCAGTGTGGGAAATAATCGCGCTCGCCCAACCTCAATCAGACCAGCTACTGAAACCATCTCCCTTCAGAATATGAATGAAGACACAACACACTACATCAATGGCGGTCGCTGTCCTCTCCATGTCTGTTACTGTCCTGACCCTTCCCCCCGTTACCCTCCAACCAAGGAACGAACAAATGAAGAAGAAGGAAAAAAAAAAAAAAAAAAAAAAAGGAAAGGAAAAAGCCAGCTCACCAGTCATGCACAGTGCCTACAAGCCCACGGTCATAGATAGCAGGCAGTGTGTTGGGCCCCGTACTAGGCACCACATTCATCACCCACACCGGAGACACTCCCCCTCGCTGCTGCTCCTCCTGCTGCTGCTGCAACTCCCTCCCCCTCCCCCTCCCCACCCCCCCCTCCCCATCTCCCTCTCCCTCTCGGCCTTCAGTTGCTCATCTTCCAAAGCAGCTGCCAGGCCCCCGATCCCCGCGTTCATATCCAGCACGTTTCGAACACGCCCCGAGGAGAGCAGCGGTCCAAGAAAGAGCTTCTGGTAGTGCAGCAACCGCCGGCGCCACCGCTTGCGCTCCAGAGACAGCAGCTTGAACTGCTCCGTCTCTCCCCCTCCTCCCCCGCCGCCGCCCCCGCTCCCTCCCCCCTCGCGTTCCTCGTCGACTGAAAGCAACAGCCGGCGCTGAGGGTTGTTGCCGCTGTCCCTGCGGCTTTCCCTCGCTCCCCCTCCCCCTCCCCGACCGCTTTCCCGGTCCTCCTCTGCGTCGTCCTCCTTGCCTCCCTGTGCTAGTATCCCATCCACCACCACTTTCACTGCTCCTGCGCTTGCCAGCTCCACTCTCCCCACTACGTTCCGGTTGTCGTCGCCCTCTCCCCCATCCCCTGCTCCCCCTCCCCCTCCCCCACCACGACCGCCCCCCTCCGCCCCTCTCTCCCCATTCAAACCAGCCCTATCTAACCCCCCACTGCTACCCCCACCAGCAGCACCAGCAGCAGCAGCAGACGAAGCAGAAGAGGAAGACGAGGAGGAGGAGGCAGAGGTCTGGCCGTTTTCAGAAGACTCAGCGAGCCAGTCGGAGAGAGAGGCTTTGGAGGAGGCGGGGAGGGCGAGTTGCACGCGGGGGGAGGGGGTGTGCAGGCGCATGGGCCAGGGGGGGGTGGGCCAGGAGGGGGGCGCGGAGGGCACTGCACATGGTTGTAGCTTCACATACCTGGTGAGGTGAGGGATAGGGAAGAAGAGAGAGGGGGAGGGCGGAACGGGGAAGACGGACGGGGGAGGGAAGGGCGGGGGGGGAAGAGGGAAGGGTGGGGAAGAGGGGAAGAGGGGGGGGAAGGGGAGGTGGAGGAAGGCAGGGAGAGAGTAAGGAAGATCTGATATTACACACGGCTCAGACAGGTTATGTATGGGGTCACTGGGAGATGAAATAAATACACAAGGAAGGGGGGAAGAGGGAGGGAGGGGAGCGTTGCAAGGGTGGGCACGGCAGGTAAGTGAGGGTGCAGCACAGCAATGCAAAGCTGTGAATTGGCTCACAGGTCACCTGAGAAGGAAGTGACTAAAGTGAGTGGAAGTGACTTTATGAAGTTACAGCACACCTGGATAGAAAGAAAGGCATGATATGACTTGACCCTGACTCACTCACTTGCCCTCCCCTTCCGTCCCCTCTCTCCCCCTCCCTCCCTCCCCGCCACCCGCCACCTCTCACAACCCATCCCCTTTCCCGTCCACTCCATGCAGCATCAGAAAAACCCCACCCTCCCTTTCCCCATACCAGGCATCATGAGGATCAAGAGCGGGCGAGCAGAGCGGCACATCCCTCATTCCCCACCACCCGTCCTCCTCTCAAACCCACCCCCTATCCCCTCCCATCCACAGTGAAACCCAACCCTCCCACCCCTTATCCCCATCCATACCAGGCATCATCAGGATCAAGAGCAGGCGAGCAGAGCGGCACATCCCGCCCATCCCCCTCCACGCCCACGCGGCACGCGTCGCCTCCCAGCTTGCGCCACACGGCCACGTTCCCCACGGTCTTGAGCAGCTCCCAGCACAGCGCCTTGCCCAGCAGCCGCAGCCGCTTCCACTCCGCGATCTTGCCGCGCCACGCCACCGGCTGCCCCGCCAGGATGAAGACCCCGTTGGGACGGAGGAGTCGATCCACCTCGTACACGTGCGTGGAGTCTGGGGAGGGGAGGGGGCGGGGGGGAGGGAGTGGGGGAGGCAGGCAGAGGAGGAGACTGGAGAGTTGACTGAAGCCCACCGGCTGCCCCGCCAAGATGAACACGCCGTTGGGACGGAGGAGTCGGTCGACCTCGTACACGTGCGTGGAGTCTGGGGAGGGGAGGGGGGAGGGGGGAGGGGGGAGGGAGAGGGAGAGGGAGAGGGAGTGAGGAGAAGGACGGGACTGAGGAGGAGGCCGATAAAAGGGGGGGGGAGATGAGATGAGAAGACAATGCATCCACCTCTTAAACGTTGAGCCCTGCAGCCTCATACCTTGTACCACGCCATGCTTGCTCCCTCACTCCTAATTCCCTCCTCCCACCCTCCTACCACCCTCCTCCCACCCTCCTACCACCCTTCCTCCAGACCCCTCCCATGCCCCGTCGTTGCCCCCATTGATGGGTTTGTTTGATCTTCTCTCATTCACATGCCCTTGCCTCCTAACCCTGTTTACCCCTGAACCCATGACCACTGCACAATCTCCCTTCCCCTCCCCTTCTCCCCCTTCCCCTTCAACCCCATTTCCTCCATTCTTTCCCCACGCCCCGTCGCCCCCCGCCCCCCTTCCCCCCATCCCCCACTCACTCTCATCCCCAAACGAAGCAGAGCAGCGGGAGCAGTGGATCAAATCGAACGAGCGAGCGGGGAAGGGCAGGCGGTGCGTGGCGAGCAGCCCGATCATGGCGGGCAGGCCTCTCTCCAGGGCGAACTGGATCTGGGCGCGGTACGAGTCCTTGGGGGCGATGGACATGGTCAGCACTCCGTAGTCCAGCAGAGCCGCCCCAAAGCTGGCGACCTGGGGAAGGGAACAAGGGACGGGAGAGAGTAAGGCACGGGGGGAGGGAGGGTGTGAGCGCGGTACGAGTCCTTGGGGGCGATGGACATGGTCAGCACTCCGTAGTCCAGCAGAGCCGCCCCAAAGCTGGCGACCTGGGGAAGGGAACAAGGGACGGGAGAGAGTAAGGCACGGGGGGAGGGAGGGTGTGAGCGCGGTAAGAGTCCTTGGGGGCGATGGACATGGTCAGCACTCCGTAGTCCAGCAGAGCCGCCCCAAAGCTGGCGACCTGGGGAAGGGAACAAGGGACGGGAGAGAGTAAGGCACGGGGGGAGGGAGGGTGTGAGCGCGGTACGAGTCCTTGGGGGCGATGGACATGGTCAGCACTCCGTAGTCCAGCAGAGCCGCCCCAAAGCTGGCGACCTGGGGAAGGGAACAAGGGACGGGAGAGAGTAAGGCACGGGGGGAGGGAGGGTGTGAGCGCGGTACGAGTCCTTGGGGGCGATGGACATGGTCAGCACTCCGTGGTCCAGCAGAGCCGCCCCAAAGCTGGCGACCTGGGGAAGGGAACAAGGGACGGGAGAGAGTAAGGCACGGGGGGAGGGAGGGTGTGAGCGCGGTACGAGTCCTTGGGGGCGATGGACATGGTCAGCACTCCGTAGTCCAGCAGAGCCGCCCCAAAGCTGGCGACCTGGGGAAGGGAACACGGGACGGGAGAGAGTAAGGCACGGGGGGAGGGAGGGTGTGAGCGCGGTACGAGTCCTTGGGGGCGATGGACATGGTCAGCACTCCGTAGTCCAGCAGAGCCGCCCCAAAGCTGGCGACCTGGGGAAGGGAACAAGGGACGGGAGAGAGTAAGGCACGGGGGGAGGGAGGGTGTGAGCGCGGTACGAGTCCTTGGGGGCGATGGACACGGTCAGCACTCCGTAGTCCAGCAGAGCCGCCCCAAAGCTGGCGACCTGGGGAAGGGAACAAGGGACGGGAGAGAGTAAGGCACGGGGGGAGGGAGGGTGTGAGCGCGGTACGAGTCCTTGGGGGCGATGGACACGGTCAGCACTCCGTAGTCCAGCAGAGCCGCCCCAAAGCTGGCGACCTGGGGAAGGGAACAAGGGACGGGAGAGAGTAAGGCACGGGGGGAGGGAGGGTGTGAGCGCGGTACGAGTCCTTGGGGGCGATGGACATGGTCAGCACTCCGTAGTCCAGCAGAGCCGCCCCAAAGCTGGCGACCTGGGGAAGGGAACAAGGGACGGGAGAGAGTAAGGCACGGGGGGAGGGAGGGTGTGAGCGCGGTACGAGTCCTTGGGGGCGATGGACATGGTCAGCACTCCGTAGTCCAGCAGAGCCGCCCCAAAGCTGGCAACCTGGGGAAGGGAACAAGGGACGGGAGAGAGTAAGGCACGGGGGGAGGGAGGGTGTGAGCGCGGTACGAGTCCTTGGGGGCGATGGACATGGTCAGCACTCCGTAGTCCAGCAGAGCCGCCCCAAAGCTGGCGACCTGGGGAAGGGAACAAGGGACGGGAGAGAGTAAGGCACGGGGGGAGGGAGGGTGTGAGCGCGGTACGAGTCCTTGGGGGCGATGGACATGGTCAGCACTCCGTAGTCCAGCAGAGCCGCCCCAAAGCTGGCGACCTGGGGAAGGGAACAAGGGACGGGAGAGAGTAAGGCACGGGGGGAGGGAGGGTGTGAGCGCGGTACGAGTCCTTGGGGGCGATGGACATGGTCAGCACTCCGTAGTCCAGCAGAGCCGCCCCAAAACTGGCGACCTGGGGAAGGGAACAAGGGACGGGAGAGAGTAAGGCACGGGGGGAGGGAGGGTGTGAGCGCGGTACGAGTCCTTGGGGGCGATGGACATGGTCAGCACTCCGTAGTCCAGCAGAGCCGCCCCAAAGCTGGCGACCTGGGGAAGGGAACAAGGGACGGGAGAGAGTAAGGCACGGGGGGAGGGAGGGTGTGAGCGCGGTACGAGTCCTTGGGGCCGATGGACATGGTCAGCACTCCGTAGTCCAGCAGAGCCGCCCCAAAGCTGGCGACCTGGGGAAGGGAACAAGGGACGGGAGAGAGTAAGGCACGGGGGGAGGGAGGGTGTGAGCGCGGTACGAGTCCTTGGGGGCGATGGACATGGTCAGCACTCCGTAGTCCAGCAGAGCCACTCCGAAGCTGGCCACCTGTTGGGGTGCAGGAAGGGAGGAAGAGGAGGGGAAGACGGCGGAGAGGGGGAGGGGGGCAGAGAAGGGGGGAGGGAGGTGAGAGGTGGTGAAGGGGGACGCAGGGATGTGGTGCAGAGGAGAAGTGTGGGAGGCACTGAAGCTGGGGGGAAGAGCAGCCCGATCATGGCGGGCAGGCAGGCAGACCGTGCTCCAAGGAGAATTGGATCTGGGCGCGGTACGAGTCCTTGGGGGCGATGGACATGGTCAGCACGCCGTAATCCAGCAGTGCCGCTCCGAAGCTGGCCACCTGTTGGGTGGGAACAACAAGGGAAGACCAGAACGCGGTGTTGGGGCGAGGAGGCAAGGGGTGGACGATGGGGAGGGCCGAGGGCAGGGAAGGAGGGAAGGTGGGGGGAAGGGCGAAGGGAAGGGCCAAAGAAAGGCGCGGGGAGGGAGGGGGGCATGGTGGTCGTTTAAGGGCGAGTGACACGGCCAGCACAGCACGCCATAAGGAGGGCATCTGGTAGACGGTAGGGAGCGGGGAGAGAGGAGGGGTTTTGGAGGTGGGGAGGGGAGACGCGGGGAGATGGAGCGGGGGGCACGAGGGAGGGACGGGTGCTTGCCCTTCGTGGCACATGGCAGATCGCCCATTGCCTTGGTCAGCTCAGCAGCACAGCACCCCTTACTTCCCCACAAGACAACCACTCCTAAGGGGGAAGCGGTCCGGCCATGAAGAAGCATAATGTGTTTGGGTTGTGGAAGGCGCAGGGGAGGGCGCGAATGGGTGGGAAAGGGTTTAGCGGGAAATGGGAAGAGGGGGGGAGGCGGGGAGAGAAGGGATGGCTTTGGTCTGAAGACAGACAAGGAGGGGATTCATACACTCGCCCTAACCCCCCACTCACACTCTCACTCACCCTCACACTCACACACTCACCCTCATTCCGATAGTGCCTTACACACCCACCTCCCTCACCCCGCATGACCTGACTCCATCCATCCAACACCACGCCAGGAGCGCTCTTGCAATTTATTCTCATCCCACCTTAAACCACAGTCCCCCTCCCCTCGTCCCCCTTCCCTCGTCCCCTGTTCCCCGTCCCCCCCCTGCCCCCTCCCCCGTCCCCCCTTGCCCCCTCCCCCGCTCCCCTCCCCCTTCTTCCTCTGCGCACTCACCCCCGAGCCAATATCCAGCGCCATGAGCAAATTCGGCCCCAACTCTACGATCTGGCGCAGGTGGTACAGATACCCCTCCACTCGCCTTCTGCCTCCCTCCCCTTTCTCCCTATTCTCCCACCCCCAGCACTCACCCCCGAACCGATATCGAGCGCCGTGCGCACGTTGGGGCCCAGCTCTACGATCTGGCGCAGGTGGTACAGATACCCCTCCACGCCGTCGGGGAACATGGACCCGCCCACTCCCCCTGCCCCACCCCCTCCCCCCCGCACTCACCCCTGAGCCGATATCCAACGCTGTCCGCACATTCGGCCCCAGTTCCACGATCTGCCGCAGGTGGTACAGATACCCCTCCACGCCGTCGGGGAACATGGACCCGCCGCCCTCACCTCCCAATCCCCCTCTCCCCTTTCTCCCCCTTCGCCCACCCGCACTCACCCCTGATCCAATATCCAGTGCAGTCCGCACGTTGGGGCCCAGTTCCACGATCTGGCGCAGGTGGTACAGATACCCTTCCACGCCGTCGGGGAACATGGACCCGCCGCCCGGGAAGTGCCACCTGTCGCCCTGGCGCGCCATCCAGTTCTTGTTGCGCTTGTTGTCCGCGATCGTCGTGTGCGGCACGTTGCGGAACCACACCTGCGCGGGAGGCGGGGAACGGGGCGCGGGGAAGGAAGGAAGCGGGAGGGGGAACGGAAGGGAAAGGGGGGGGGGGGGGAAATGGGGTGAGGGTGGAGAGGGAAGTGGGGAGGGAAAAATGGAAAGGAGGAGGACAGGATGGGAAGTTTGTGTTGCGTTATGGCGGGGCAGAGTGGGAGGGGGAGCGGAAAGGGAAAGGAAAAGGCAAGGTTTCAGGTGCGCATGTGGGGGAAAAGGGAACGGGAAACGAAATTCGCGAATTGGGAAACCAGTACGACGCATTGTTCGCCGAGCGATCATGCCACAAGTCGTGGCAACGGCACCGGAAAAGGACGGCATTGCCGAGCAGAGGCGGAACGACAAGAGTTGAAACGGAAAGGGGCTAGACCACAGGAGCCTAGACGACAAGAGGGTAGACGAGTAGTCGACAAGATGGTAGACGGGTACACGACAAGAGGGTACGCGATGCGCTTAGAGGAGAGAAGATTCGTGCAAGGAGGATACTAACGAGGCACTGCCGAACGGAGTCAACCGGAGAAAGGGAGCAGAAACAAAGGGGGGTCGGTACCAGAAGAAACGAACGGGGGAAGGGAACGGAGAAACCGCAGAAGCACGTGGAAAATTATACAAATGTGAAATTCAGTCAAAAACCCTGATGTAATCCGCAATGATGCTCTCTAACACGGGTCGCAATCTAACGCGCGCCGGTGAGAATCCACGTACCCAGTCGCGGCTTTCAGGCCATGGTATCGGTCGGCGGTATCCTGACGGCGCGGGCACCAGGCACCGTCGCCGATCCGATTTCCCGGGGCAATGCCGTTCGCGAAACTCGTTGTTTTCGCGAGGGTAGAGGATGGCGATTTTTGGGTCATAGCAGGGGAGGTGGTTGGTCCAGTTGGAAGGGCATGGCGGGAAGGATTGCATCGGCGCGAGCGTGGGTACTCCCGAAGTGGCCGCTTTAAGCATGGAGACGCCTTGATTCGTAAGGCCGTCGCCGAGAGGAGTGAATACGCAGAGGACAACGAATGCGAGGAACGCGAGGATGGTGACGGTGAAAATGTTCAGCAGCCGCTTCTGCCGCTGCTGGAGCTTCGTTAACTGAGGTGGCCGAGGCGGCATGGCTGGCCGCATTTTGTGAAACAGGAAAGAAGAAAGGAAACAGGCGTGGGGGACACCGCGATTGAAGCAGGAGTGGTGTGATACAGCTCAGTCCATCGGCGATAATGCAAGTGTTGCTGTGAAGCTACGACTAAGAACAGTGTAGATGGTGGTTGGCTCGAGAATTACCAGTAATCGGTACGGTAATTTGACGGATCGGACGTGAAAATGGGTTAAGGACGATAAGGAAACTAGTCCACCTAATTACCGCTGGGCTGGACAAGAAGAGCTGAGGCATGGCAATGGTTTGGTGCAACTAACTGTAAGCCCAGCAGCAGTGCACACTAGACCAGACAGACACCATTTGTGTGTCCTGTAGTGTCAACAATTCTAGGAGGCTGTTTGTCGTCAAAAGGTGTTAGAAGCGGCATGAAACATTATAATCATTGTTTTCTATGATTCAGAGTGGCGGTGGCGGCTCTACTACCCACACTGCTGCTTCGATGTTGGGTGGTGCCATGGAGCCAGCCAACAACAAGTCAGCTGATGAGCCAACAACTACGGTGAAATCTGAACCGTCCAACCCACCTTCAATCCACTACGGTGCTCGACACTCGCCTCGACCACTGTTCCCTCCACTGTTCCCTCCACTGTTCCCTCCACTGTTCCCTCTACTGTTCACGACGCGGCCCAACCTCACGGTTCGGTTGGTGATCCACACTCCGGACCTCCGCCTCGACAATTCCCAGCCCCAGCGCTAGGCCCGTAGCACACCCCATTTTCACGCATTACCGTTACCGCTTGGGCTTCGCTATATATTCTTCGCTCATTCTCTCACTTGCTGTACTGTTTTGCTTCGATGGTGCAATTCTCGCTCGCTCGCTCAATTGCACTCGTAACAGGTTGAAAAAAAAAACCAAAAAAACAAACAAACAAAACAAAACAAAAACTAGTGTCACGTGGCCGCATGGAAATCTTGGATAGATGGATGTGGATAAAGTTGATGGGGTTGGATTGTCAAACTATAAGTAGGCTAGGTTAGTTTAGGCTAGGTTGAGTTGTTTTTCAATGTGTATGCTGCGATCAAAAGTTGATCGTACCCAGGATCACCTCAGGAAGGTTTGCACACGATTGAGTGGTGCTGGTAGGCCCTTGACCTCAATTCAGACTGAATGTAAAATGATTGAGATGATTTAAAACATGAAAATACAAACATGTAAATAAGAGTACAAGTTGGAATACGAAGCGTCTTAGCTAGTCATGCACTATAAGGGGTACATTCCTTTATTGCAGGGAAACTCAACCGCGCGACTGCTCGGGCAGAATCATCGCCACTGCTGCTGCCGGATGCTGTCTGCCCTGACGGTCCAGATGTTTCGTAACCGTTCGACTCTTCGAGTCACTTTTGCCTTTTCGTTTTCAGCCTCGGTACCGCATGCTTTGATTGCTACTGTCAGGAATGCACAGTACCACTTCATTCTTTACTATTCGTAACAGTGTACAATACGTTAGGGTTTCACGATTCGATACTAACTGTCTGCAACCAATCTCTACCGAATATCAAATCGTTGCCGTCGAGCATCGCAATGTCAAGATTGTGTCTAGCTATTATCGAGCATAGCACTACGCGCAACTTGCAAATCAATGGTCCCATGTGATGAAGCGTCCCATCTACCATACGAGTGTCCGTGAATCAGCATGTGAAATCCGCTTCGAGATGGGGATGACTAACTAGCAAAGAAGAGACGAACAAGTGGCTAACTCCGTTATCTATGAGAATCTTGACAATAACTTCACGAAGCTTCACTAAGGAGCACGGCTGTGCGATCAACAATGTCCACGTTGTTCAACGTAGATGACTGATCTAAGGTCCTCTCATCTATTTTGGTACGCTGGCGGGTTTGAAAACGTTCACACTAGCTAGCGACCCACTACATACTGTACCTAAGTTGAGGACGGTCCAGATTCAGATGTCCCAATTTTTTTCCGCGAGTTGTCACTGTTAACTGCACCAATTTCCGTAGGAAGTGGTCCGTCTGTCTAGGAAGGGTTCATTTCGGACGTGACATGTCCATAATGTACGCATCACAAACTATCGTGATACGTAAATCCAGCATATGTTGCCTGTCAGAACATTATAGCTCATGCATATTGTGTAGGCTATAGTGGGGTAGCCCATAAGGGGTACAACCCAATTAGGGTTAGTACTTGTACCCAATTCATTCATAGTTCATTCATTCCTTGTTTCTTCTCATGGTATCGAGCAGGTTCCCTAGTGGGAACGCTTCCTAGGGCCCACCACGAATTTTTTTTTTTTTCCTGCCCGGAGCGCGCTTCGCTCCCACAGTCGCGCCCTCTCACGACCCCTCACGGCCCCTCGCGTCGCCCTTAGCGGCCCCTTACGGCCCCTCGCGCCGTCCCTTACGGCCCCTAGCGCGGCCCCTTACGGCCCCTTACGGCCCCTAGCGCGGCCCGTCGGCCCCTTACGGCCCCTTACGGCTCCTAGCGCGGCCCCTCGTGCCGCCCGTCGGCTCCTTACGGCCCCTTACGGCCCCTCGCGCGGCCCCTTACGGCCCCTTACGGCCCCTTACGGCCCCTCGCGCCGCCCGTCGGCCCCTTACGGCCCCTTACGGCCCCTCGCGCGGCCCCTTACGGCCCCTTACGGCCCCTCGCGCCGCCCGTCGGCCCCTCGCACCGCCCTCAGCGGCCCCTTACGGCCCCTTACGGCCCCTCGCGCCGTCCCTTACGGCCCCTCCCACGGCCTTACGGCCCCCCCCCCTACGACTCGTCGCCGCCCTCCGCGGCCCCTCGCGCCGCCCCTTCACGGCCCGTCGCCGCCCTCCGCGGCCCCTCGCGCCGCCCCTTCACGGCCCGTCGCCGCCCTCCGCGGCTCCTCGCGACGCGGCCCCTCGCACCGCCCTCTCCGGCCCACTGTCGCCGCCCCTACCGCAGCGGCCGCCGCCGTCCCTGCAGCAGCAGCCGCAGCCGTCGCCAGCAGCAGCCGCCACCACCTCCCTCGGGGCCGCGGCTGCTGCCGCAGCTGACTGCACCCGCCGACGCCGCTCCACTCGGCCCCGCCGCCGCTCCCCACGCGGCCTCGCCGCGCCACCTGAGCCGCCCGGGCCTGCCGAGCCGCCGTACCGCCCGAGCCGCCGTACCGCCCGAGCCGCCCGAGCCGCCGTGTCGCCGAGCCGCGCTTGCTGCCGAGCCGCCGTACCGCCGAGCCGCCCGAGCCGCCCGAGCCGCCGAGTTGCCGAGCCGCCGAGCAGCTGAGCCACCCGAGTCGCCCTGTCCGGTAAGTGCAACGCCTCTGTCCCTGCACTGCCCTCACCCTACTGTTTGCGCTGCTAGTCTACTGTTGTCATGGCTACCCCTAGTATCCTCGCCTTTGACGCTGAGGGTCGGGCCATTGACTTTGACGTCTGGGTAGATGACCTGCAGCTTTTCCTACAGTGCGATAGGGCAGACGGTCTCTCCCTCTTTGACCTCACCTCTGGTGCCTCTCCTGCCCCTGCTGCTGATGCCGACGCCACTGTAGGCTCACAGTGGGCCACTCGCGATGCTGCTGCACGTCTTGCTGTGCGTCGCCACCTGCCTACCTCTGAGCGTGCGCACTTTAGCCAGTACAAGAGTGCTCAGACCTTGTACGACGCTGTAGTTGCGCGCTACTCCTCCCCTGCCACTGCTGCACTGAGCCGCCTCATGCTACCGTACCTCTTCCCTGACCTTGCTGCCTTTCCCACAGTCGCTGACCTCATTACGCACCTCCGCACTAGTGACACTCGCTACCGCGCTGCGCTTCCTGCTGAGTTCTGCGCCAAGAACCCCCCCCCCATGTACATCACCCTCTACTACATAGTCACCCGGCTCCCTGACTCCCTTCGCGTAGTCAGGGACCACTTCCTCTCCGTTTGCCCCACCACTCTCACCGTTGACCTCCTCGAGAAGTCCCTCCTAGCAGCAGAGAAGAGCATAGTCGCTGTAGGAGCCTCTCGTGGTGACCCTCGCACCCCCATCTTTGAGGGGTGTTCCCCCTCCCCCCTTTTGCCCTCTGTTGCCTCTGCTGCTGCGGCCGACCTCGTTGGGCTTGAGTCGGTCGGTGCGGCGTCTACCCCTAGCGGGAGACGTCGCCCTGGCAAGGGCAAGGGGGGCAGGGGCACTGGAGGAGCTAGCGGGGGCGGTGG